ATATATCAACGGTAACAGAACTGGCAGGGTTGCGAGGCAAGGGCTCAAACATGTACGGCTGGAAGCCTTCTACACCAAACCAAGCTTCTGCCGCCCTGGCGTCCTCTTCCACAACATCTTCGTCCCCGCTTTCCTCCTCTAAATAAAAAATGGATGACTGAGGAGACTCATCCACGACCTCCGACACTAAACTCTCCTCCTCTTGCATGTTTCCGCTGTCCATATTGTTCCTTGACAGCGTCGATTCTAAGTCAACAATTTAGTGCTACTTGGTCCCAATGGAATTTCCCATTGGGAACCTACTAGCACTAAGTTGCTAATTGGTTAGCCAGATGCTTCCGAGACACCGGCCACAATCAAACGTGCTTGCAAACCTTCCACCACAACAATCCTGCCGCCTTGATAATCGACCAATCACATTCACTTCACTCGTGTAAAGTCCTGCACAACTCTGGAGAATTCGGAATTGCATCGGTTGGAACAGCCGCTTTGCTACGACTTTAATGTTTGAAAAGCTTTTTATTAGGATTTATAATTATAGAGCAGACTTGGACTTAACTTTGTGAATTACTCCTTCAGGGAAGTTCTGGTTCCAGTAGTTTAAAGTTCAAAGAGTTAAAGCAAGATGCCCTTGACAGGGATCTCAGTAAAACACTTTGAAAATCAAAATTTCAATCCAATAGTGTTATTGGAATCCAGGACAAGACCTTATTACCTTGGTAACATTAAAAAAATATGGATATTTTGATGGCAAAATTAATTTCATTGAAATAACAAGGAACAGCAACTTGCCTGAATATATTATGAAATATGACAAAAGTGCTTCTATAAAAAATTTATGAAAAACACTCTGAGATTCAAAGAAACACATTTTTTTTGGTACAACATAACCTTAGAGGCATTAAAGGGGAACGCCAGTTTTTTTTACATTGGCACCTTGATTTTACATCATTACATCATGTTCTACTCAACCATATGGGTTTTGTCCATTTGTAAAGGGATGCAAGTGATCAAAAATGGTAGCTTGCCCTATAAGAGGGTTAAAGATAAAAAAAATACAACAAACAATATAAAAAGTGTGTATAATAGTACAAAAGTGCATAACAAAGTTGTAATATCTTGTAATAAAAGCCATGGAAAGACTACACAGTTGGATTATGAAAATTATTCACAGATTATTATGAAAATGGGTGAAATATGAAAAATAGGTTCGTAAAACCTTCTTGCAAAAAATTGTAAAAAGTTGTTTCTTATGTGCAGCCCCAAGTGTAATACTGCTAAGTAAAATCCAGTCTAACAACATAGAACACGTGGAAGAGTAGTTTAATGAAGGTTTACATCTAATCAAGCTTTAAATGTCTCCTGGTGAAGATCAATTATCTAAAAAGGCAGCTGAACCGTCTAAAGTAACTCTGTAGGAGCTGTAGGAATCTACAGCTTAGGTGGGAGATGTTAGCAGTGAGCTTAGTCCTACATGTGAAATGCCACATGAGGTATAAATATAAAAATGAAAAAAAAAACACAAGCCCATAATTCTGCACACTATCTGAGCGAAATGTGTTTTTGTTTTTTGTTTATTTGCATCATGCTGTGGAGATGCTTTGTCTTCAACAGGAACATACTGGTCAGTTTTTCAGAATATGTGTGTAAATGCAGGGCAGTAATGGAAGAAAACGTGTCTGAGCCTGCAGCAGCAGATGTTTACATTCTATGTTAAACTCAGAGCTGCAGAGGAAGAGCTTGGATCAGAGGATGTTCAAGCGGTTAAAGTCCAGGCCTAAATCTAATACAGTCTGATTGTTGAGCCACTTTCTATCAAATCTGACTGAAATAAAGCCGCGAAAGAACAAAATAAAGAGATTTAACCTCATAGAAAGGTGTTTCTGTGACACAGATCTTTATATAACTCTATCCTTGTATTAGTTTACCTAGCATAATTCAGTACATCTAGAAATGGCTAATCACAGCTGAGCTGCTCTGATGGATTGCTGTTTTTATATTGAATAACTGAGGTTAAAGAATTTGATTATTTTATTCAAAAAGACGACGGCAGTAGTTAAATCTACAGCTTTTTGATTGCCATTTAAGGCACCCTCTGCACAGACAGATGAGATGTAACCATAAGAGCTGGGAGAACATAAACAATCATTTTTTTAAAACCGGGTCCCTCAGTGGAAAAATCAGATAACATGAGTTTCAGTGTCTGCATGTGAGCAGCATCTTTTTTTGATGATGTTGTAGGTCAGCTCACCTCTGCCTCTTCACCGCCATGTTGCCGTGTTTACGCCCAGTGTTTGTGTCAGCGGTTTGGCTGTAATTCTGGCATATTTGCTGCAGCGTCTGTGTACACTTTTATCCTTTTTCAGTTTGTTTATGAAAATATACCATGTTCGTCTTTGTGTGGAACACGCCTCAAATAGCATGCATGGATTTTTAGTATAGATTTCAATATAAGGAAATTCCCCTCAGTCAGATCTAGCTAGAAATGGCTCATTTGTAAAAGAAAAAAAAAGTGTTTAAATGCTTTCAAACTGTTAAATGCACATTTGAGTCAAAAGTGTCAAAAGGCAAACAGTTTTTAGGTGTTTATTCTGTACATCTGCTTTGACACTTTTAGTGTAAAGGTATTAGTTGTCTACTGTTTTTAAATTTTCCTTTTAACCAAGTAAAACTGAAACGCTGCTTTAACCTGAAGTCAAAAATGCTGATTAATGCTGACTTTTACCTTTGGATGGCACTCATGTTTCATTTTCCATCGCTCTAGTTCTCTGTCTGTCTGATATAATCAGGAAAAAATTTCTTGCCGTTGAATACGTCGTGTTTTTAGGAAGCATCCTCAGTTCTGTGCTCACTGTTGTTACCATTTTGTTTCCTAATTTCCCCTCTTTTTTGTCTTTTCTTAACAGACACAAATGCCTGATCCTAAGACCTTCAAGCAGCACTTTGAAAGCAAACATCCAAAATCTCCGATGCCCCCGGAGTTAGTGGGCGTGGAGGCGTAAAACACTCACCTCTCCTAATGAGGCAGTTGAAGCTTATTCAGGACAAACCCGTCAACGTTTCAGACAGACGGCATTTCATAAAAGTAAGTACACCCCTCACGTTTTTGTAAATATTTTCTTTTTTGTATCTTTTCATAAAACAACACTGGCAAAAAAATCACTTTGATACAATATAAGGTAGTCAGAGAAACGCCTGTATAACAGTTTGTTTTCTGTCCCCTCAAAATAACTCGACACAGAGCCATTAACGTCTAAACACAGGAGTTTTCTCCGTTTTCTTGATGACATCACAGAGCTGGTGGACGTTAGAGACCTTGAAAATGACTGCTCCCCATTTATTAGCATTAGAGACCTTCTAACGCTAATAAATCACAGGACATCCAGGAGGGCAAATGGTTGATTTGACGAAATTTTGACCTTTTGGTAACTTCTGTATCCCATGGTCTAGACATAACGGCTGTGCTTAGAGGCATTTGAGTGGCCAGTAAAATGAAACAGTCATGCAAGCGCTACACTGACTACTTCAGACTGTATTAAAGTGTCATATCTTATATGTTTTTATCAAGATACAAAAAAGTGATGGGTGTACCCATATTTATGTGATGCTGTGTAAATTAAGTGTTTGAGAAGAAATATCTTTATAATATAGATTGTTTCTCCGGCTGATTGTTCTGTGTTTGAGTTGTCTTAACCAACCAGTCTGTGGTATTTTTTATTTTCCTTTATCTTCATCTGCCAAACATTGATCCAGGGGCATCACTGAAGGATGTAAAGATGCCTAACATGCTGGTACCCCCTCATCACTTACATCCTGTACTGTATGCAGTATTTAGTTATTTTGTCTGTTTTATAGCCACTCCACCATCTCAGGTCTCCCACTGTGGCAGAGTCGGCTGCAAACGTCTCTGCTTGGCAAAGTTCTGATGATTGAATCCAGGGTGTCCCTTAGCGGTTGTGGACAGATCAGTTGGTCACGCATCAGGTTTGGGTTAATCGCTATTCTACAGAATATTTGAATTCATTATGTGTTTGGAAAGATAAATGTTTTTTCCCTTTATTTCCAAGCTGCACTGATTTTTGTTCCTGTCTGGAGATTTTCATTAGAGTCTAGTTTGTGTTTGTTTGTTTTTTGATATGAGGAATACGTTGAAGACACTGTGTTAGATGAGATCTCCCTGTCTACCCTGAAGATGTTCTTATATTGTATATAGTTTACTTCCTGTGAGAGTTTGTGCAGAAAAAGATGAATAGAAGACTGAAAGTTTCTCACAGCAAACCCCAACCATGCAAAGAAATCGTCTGACCTCTGCTGCATTAATGGGCATCTCTGGTTCTCAAGCTGTGTGGCATACATAAGCACAACTATACTTCTGATCATTTATTTTTGCCAGGGAGTTGTGCAGCATAATAAACTGTCTTTAAAGTCATCCAATAACATGGGGGGAAGTGCAGTACCTTCTTCCGTTTACGATTGTGGAAAGTGTCCCAACTCTAAACCTGCATTAAAAGTCTGAATTGCATTACACTGTCAGACAGCTTCACTTCTTATTTATCTATAAACCTCATATCGTGTCAAACTAACTGACTTGATTTATAGAAAGGACATTTTTGAACATGTATGGACTTTCTGCTATTGAACCTCTGACATTGTATCACTGTGCTATAAGTCTGAACTGATAACCTGCCATGTTTTTACTTTTTTAATAATCATATCATGTCGGCGTAATGTAATGTTTAGTCTTTTAATAAAGGTCTTTTATATCAGATCTTCAGCTCTGGGTTTTTTCTATAAACGTTCTTGCATATACAAGCAGAAGTCTGCCATGGTGTACGTTTCTGGACACTTTAAAGTAATATGCCATTGATTGGAATGATTAAAGATCTAAATTCACTAATTGAAGCATTGTAGAAATGAATTACACACAGACAAATGATTTCAGCCATTCTTTTTTTATTATTAAATATGATCATTAAAGCAAAGAGAATAAATTGTTCCATCAGACCAATTAAAATAATTGACGTAGTAAAAACCATGTATAATACCTGCTTTGGTATATTAAAGTGTTTTCTAGCTTGGCTATTTCTAAGTAGCATGGAGGCATTAAGTATCTTACCTCTTTTTTTTTAGATTTATTTTACTTTCACTTAATGCAGTCTCGTAGAAATACAGAGCTCACCCCGCTGTCTGGTCACACCCTTTTCCTTGTCAGTGAAGCTTGTAGCGGAGCTTGGGTCTATGCAAACACCAGGTCAAAACAATGCACTTCTGAGCCAACCGGTTTTGATAGAACAGATATTTATAAAAGTTTTCTTTTATCACGTTTTACCTGTCAAAAACAACCAAAACACTGACCTTACACCATAAAATAAATTAAGGTATGAATNTAAAAATAAGTAATGGAGTAAAGTATAGATAGCTAAAAAGTGTACTTAAGTACAGTTATGAAGTATTTGTACTTTGTTACTTGACACCTCTGCTATTACGTTACAAACAATGTCAGTGGCTTATTTAGTCCATATCTTCCTTTCAGTCCAAGATAGCCAGACTAACATATTATACTATTGGATGCATTGGCGTATATATTGAATTTCTTGGATAGTTCATCCATTGACTGTGAGATTACCTGTGGAACGTCTTCCAACACCTGGCAAACTGCTTGTTTTTGCAGCCAAAGCCAAATGCTACACACTTTCACTGTGTGTCTCCTCGTGGTAGTGGGGAGTACCAGCATGGCGGATGGTGGCTTCCCTTTTTTTTGGGCTATCAGCAATTCAGTGAATAAATAGAGATCACTGCCTCCAGCAGTCTAAGCTTACAGCAGCATAGCTATATAGAAAGCTCAGGATAAGTCACTCTAGTCTATAAGTTGAGTCACTCTAATTATAAGCTTTATCAAAAAGGGAAGTTTTAAGTGTAGCCTTTAACATATACAGGGTGTCTGCTTTACAGACTAAAACTGGTAGTTGGTTCTACAGGAGTGGAGAAATTCAGTTATTTAGATATTCTATTATCTTGATATATAACTAATCTTGATTTATTACCCAGCTCTACCCTTACCTCACATGAACCCTTTTACAGATTATAATACTATATTTGGTCAAAAATGGCCGCTCCCAGACTCAGTGATCGCGACTGATTAACGCTAAATTCATTTAATCATGAACATATTAGTTTTAGGTAAAGATAATGATTCACTGATCCACTGACTTTTCCTTTAAAGGCTTATAGTTAAACATGCTATGAACGATAGGATAAGATTTATTGGTTTTAATCAGGTTGGAAATATAAGGTAATTTTTGGTTTTGTTAATAACAAGTGCAGTAAAGAAATATTATTCAACAACGTCAATTAAAAAGTGGTATTTAAGTGTTCAAATGTTACAGAATGACATTTGAACAAGGAGTATTTATAAATAACTGATGTCCTTAAGTGTCATTCTTTATAACTGTGTAATGTCATTTTTATGCACAACCCTTCAAATAAAGAGTTACTCTTCTCTTTCTAACCAGCTTCTTCCAGCCTCTTCAGAAAGTCCTCAGCCTTTCTTTTCAAAACTCGATTCCCACATTTCACCACAGAACTCCTTCCTCTCTGACTGGGAAACAGATCCCATCTGCCTCCTAAATGGAAAAGTGACTTAACTGTTTCATAATGCTTGTACTTACATAACTGTTGGTAGAGATGAAAGACGACATCGTGTATAACTTTTCAAAATAAATCATATTTTATTTTATATGAAACAAAAAATTGTCAAACATTGCAATAAACATTACTTTAAATAATTCAAAATACAGATATCATGATATTTCATCAGACATTGTTAGTATTGATTCAAAATAGAGCCGAATGGATCATACATGTGAAAAAGTATTAATAAGCAAGCATCCCTTTCATTGTCTTACTTTTGTTTAACTCTTAAATCTGCAGCCACTGGTTTGCAGCACACCGCCCAAGAGCCCGCTGTTCAGCTGCTCTATTGACTGAGAGCAACAACAGCTTCTAATGAGGTTCTCTAGAGCTATTATTCTAAAAATCACAATATATCCTATCTATTAATGTATAGGAAAAACTCTGTATAGTAATCCATGTGTATCAGATCTCCAAATTCTTGCCAGTTCAATTCAATTCAGTTTATTTATATAGAGCCAAATTCACAACACATGTCATCTCAAGGCACTTTACAGTTCAACCAGATCATACAGTCAAATTGATAGAATAGAGATATAATGGTAAAAAAAAAAACTGTTTCTGTGTCCTCCAGCAACTGATCTCTATTTATTCACTGCATTACTGATTGCCCATTGGTAGTACGGGGTTGAAGGGTAGCCACTGGCTGCCATATTGGTACTCCCTAGTTAGACCGGTCGCAATGTAAACAATATGTACGCTACAGCATCGAACAATGATGAAGTTGTCATTTTCTGGGGGACTTAAGACTTTTAAAATAAAGATGAATTCATCACTTTGAGAGACACTGGCTGTTTATAGCATCAGTAGAATACTTTAAGTTATAACTGAAAAAATTGCATCAATTTCGATAGTCATTATGAAGTCTAGAAATCATGTAATGTAACATATTATTCAAATCCATCACAATAAAATCAATAAAATATATTAAAATAGATGTGCCAAAAGTGCTAAATTGACAATGTACATGTAATATACATGTATTTATTACATTGTTATGGGAATTACATCTTACATGTCTGATAATGCATGATATATATATATAGCCTATATATATATATATATATAAAAGCAACTGAAACTTTTGACAAATATATATATTATATATATTTGTCAAAAGTTTCAGTTGCTTTTTTTCACACTACAAAAACGACGGCATTAACCACTTAAAGAATTGCTACATTGACGTTTCACAGTGAATTACTTTGTATTTACTCTACTTTCTATTACGCGGTGGTGTCAAAAGTACACCGATTTGTTACTTAAGTAGAAGTATAGATACTGCAGTTTAAAAACACTCTGGTAAAAGTAGAGTTATCAACTTGACCTATTTACTCAAGTAAAAGTGAAAAAGTATGTGCTCCAAAAAATACTTTAAGTATAAAAGTATAAAGTAACCTTTAAAAAAACAGCAAGATGCCACTATATGAACTGAAAGCTCAATTTTACGACTATTTCGAAGAAATTCTTTGAGGCAAATTTGACGAATAGCTAACCAGTGAGTGTTTGGTTATATAACTCATCCAATTACACTAGTTTTCACTATGTGTGGATGGTGCCATTGATCTGCATTGGATGGTGCACATAAGGGGAAATAAATATTTATAAACATTAAACTGAAGCCAAAAGTAACAAGTAACGTTTGTTGTAAAAACATAAGGAATAGAAAGTACAGATACTTGTGTGAAAATGTAATGAGTAGAAGTCAGAAGTAGGAATAAAAATAAGTAATGGAGTAAAGTATAGATAGCTAAAAAGTGTACTTAAGTAC